CCCGCTGATGGTTTGTTCCTGTATTCCTCCCTCTGGTCCTCCAGTGTCCCAGCGAGACCTACGATGCTCTCCACAAATCCACCAAGGACTTCCCAGATGAGGTGGTGAGCTTCATGCGGCAGCATCAGCTGATGTGGGAGCCCGTCCTGCCTCTGGGCGGTCGGCCCATCTTAACCCGCGTCAACTCGGCCTACATGTTAAAGAAGGTTGTCGTGGACAGGGTGGACGCCGAGGACGGACCGTACGACGTCTTACACCTGGGCACAGGTGAGGAGGACGAGGGGAAGGCGAAGAGGGGAGGAAAACAGACTCAGAGTGTGCAGCTGGGACTGAAATTTCATCAGTTTGTTACCAGTGAGAGATCAGTTCAGCTAATTCAGGGTGCGATGGGAAGTGTGTAAATGAAACAAAGAGAGTTTAGAGGTGAGTTTACAAGGAGGCAAACTGGTGACGTTTTCTCTGGAACGCAAAAAGGTGTTTTGTGGGTTTTACACTGAGAACAGAGCAAAACTTAATGTTGAGATAAAAGGTGAAAAGACCGTTTTGACAGTAAAATGATAAAAGAAGAGGCAGGATTGACAAATATTGAGCTATGAGTTGTCTTTTTTGGGCTGGATCTTCACCAAGAGAGGTTGTGGTGTTCTTATATTAGCACTAAATCCCAGTTTAATAGTGACATGTGATTTTTAGGAATAGCTGGAAATCTTTGAAACACTGAAGGGATTTCTAACACGTCCCGGTTCTAATGTGTTCTTTTAACCTTCTTTAACACATTTCCCTGATTTTAAATTTTTCATATTTTGTATCTTTTAAACCCATGAATCATGAATAATTCTTCCTCCGTGTTTGAGCCAGAACATCTGCAGAGTGTGGAAACATCAGCTTAGTTGGGACACGACTGACAGAACAGCAGAACGTTCAGATCCGGTGAAACTTTGGACGCTCGGCTGTGAGATTTAAACCCGTCGGTAAAATAAGATCAGCTGAGGCGGGGCCGAGGGAGCGGGCGTTTGAACTCAAGCGTGTGATTGGACCGTCTTTTAGAGCGGCGTACTGTGGCTCGCCTGTTGTGTGTAAACACGTTGACATTCATTATCTGTAAGGCGGTGAAAAATGGCGAGCTTTTATTGTGACGGGGTGAATGATTTCCTGAGTGTGTTGGGCCTTTGTTCATTAATGTGCACACAGGTGTGTTTGCTTCTTTGTGTGTGTGTGTGTGTGTGTGTGTGCATGATTAATGGCAGCGGTTATTTAAGTGCTGGCGACAGATCGGGGGGCCAGAGGTGCTCCGACTGCTCCATACATCTCTGCTGAGTGGATTCCTCCCCACCACCTCATCCCCCCGTTAGCTCCACATTCACCTGCCTGATAAATGCTCCTTCTAATCTTTCACCTAATACCACCAGGAGGAATATTTCTACATGCTTTCTGAGTGACAGATGACTTTTTTTATTGGTTTGTTATATCCCATTTTAAAAACACCCTACTCTTTAATCACACGCCTGCATCACACCGTTTAGTTTAGGATAGAAATACAGCTTTGAGAAGTCTACAGGTTACTGCGGTCGAGTACTCGTTTGAATTGTGGCTTCTAGTTTCTCTGTTCAGATGTATTAAAGTGAATGAATGAATTGAATTGAAATTTTTATTTCAGTCAACAACAACAACAGATTATAATTTTACATAAAAGTACTCAAACAGTAACCGAAAAAAGAATAGGCTGAAGCCTTATGGCTTATACTTATCCTGTCCCTTACCCCCATAGAAATAATCAAATCCTTAACCAAGAAAATAAATAGCATTGATAAATAAGTTGTATAACAGTTTGAAAAGAAATCAATGATAAATCAAAAAATTAAATCAACACAAAAAATTTTTAACAAACCAAATTTCTATAACCTTGTATAATACTAATTTTTAAAATCTTCCTGAAGAATGACAAAGAAAAACATCTTCAGTGAACGCAGTGTTGTGCACTGAAAGCTTACAGAAGCTTATTTTATATCCAGTCCAGTTAAATTCAGATTTAGCTCATCAGTCTGCTAATGGGCAGTAAATAGTGCAGATGTTTCATTTCTGCTGTCAAGAAAACATAAAAGTTGTCTGTCATTCAGCAGTTTCTGCTCTGCTTCAGGTCTGTTGAGCTCGAAGAGTTTTCTTCTTCTTCGGCCATGTTCTCTTAATAATGCACACACTTGGTTGATTGATTACTTTTCCCGTTTCTTTTATTGTCAGCAACACAGGAGGGAAAACCATACATTACTTCAGCAGTTCGCGCTTCGGAACATAAGGAACAGGAAGTGAAGTAATCTATAATCACCAAAATAAAATTGTTTCCAAAATAAAATGACAATCAGAAAACGTCTTTCACAACATAAGATAAATTAATATATTTACTCATGAGAACACAAATCTAACAAGGTCACAAAACTATTTTTTCATCCTGAGTTGCAAATCTTAACAAACAGCTCACAGATACGCTGATAGATGCTTAAGTTCGTTTAAATCAAACACTGTAACTTTAAGCTGCTCCGTCCTGTAGCTTTTCACAGACCCTGCTGTGATTGGATGAATAGTGCAAGGGTTTAGAAAAGGTTTAAACTGTACTGTAACGAGACAGTGTGCAGATATTCCACAATCAGCTGGAACTGGTGTTATTGGAGAATAGAAGCATTTAAGAAACATCGTAACTCGTCCACGATGGCAGAGCGAGGTCACCAAGGTCACATAGTGCTTAAAAGTCACCACTCCAGACATCCTCTGAATTAACATCAGCACAAAAGCTGTGCACCGGGAGCTTCATGGCATGGCTTTATTATGTTCATACCATCTATCACTCGGACAGACTATCAGCGCTCTTATCCGTCTGCTCCTGTATCCTGATAAACACTGAGGCTGACACGATGACGCCGCGGATACCTGCACAGTCTCCTTATCGTCTTATCTTTGTTTCAAACGGTGAATGATAACAAATGAAAGGTGGAGATGTCTGTGCCTGGGTTTGGTATGCAGGGGATCAGATTCATGTATGTGGGTCTCCCGGAGCGATGAACCCTGACCTCACCTGACTTAATGGAGGTCTTAAATATAAACCCCAAAGGTCAAAAGTGACCCGCTGGTTTCAGTTCAAAGCGGACACCTTTGTGCTGCTCTGTGAGGCTTCAAAGCAACTGTGGAAGTTTAAACTGCGTTAATTTATTTTGGAGATGTTATTTGGTGCTATTTCATCACTGATGAACAGAAACGTGCCTCTGAGAACGAGTCCATCTGTTTTAGTAAAGGTTAAGAAATCAATGATTCTCTCTGAAACTCTCAGAGTTATGTTTGTGACAATAAATGAGTAAATAAACAAAAGCTAGCTGCTGTCCTCGCTCTGCCAGCCTGTCGTGCTTCATTTATGTTTGACTCTGGTTCAGTTTTAACCAAATAAAGGACCCAGTGGGAAACATATACATTATTTTATAGAAGCTTGTTGGATTTGTTTCATCTCCAGGTTGTGCTGATTTGTGGTCTCTGTGTTTAGAGTCTAAGAAAACAGAAATGCAGCGATCAGTATAATCACAAAGCTACCAGATTACATTTTTACTGTGAAATTAAACGTTACAAAAGTCTCTGGTGACCACAGGCATTGAAGCGCATCATTACTCAGTGATGAGGGCACGCTTGTTTGACAGACACGTCTGCAGAC